CTTTTGCCGCTGAGCTAAATCCCCAGCCCCAAGACCCTGTCTTAAAAAAATAAAATAAAATAAAACTGAAGTTTATCCTTCAATTTTGAATGCTATTCCTTTCAATAACAAATATACTTCATGAAAACCAAATTTAAAAGTAATCAATTAGCTAATTAGGCTTAAACACAAAGGCTTAAAAGAATACAAGATTGTTCACTGACTTCTAGTAAGAAAACAAAAACCTATGAAGACGTTAAGTGTATTGCTACCTTCATTTTTATTTAAATATAGTGATCTTTTAAGAGAATAAACAACAAAAAACTGTATCACAAATATTCTACATGAATGTAAACATGCATGTCTACTTCATAATTATGCAAAATGAACTTTAGGCACAAGATTTTAAATATCATTAAATGAGACAATGAACTCAAGACAGAAATAACAGAAGCAAATAAAACATACATTTCATAATGCTTCAATTGGTCTTATCTTCCAATCTATTGGTTAAGGCCTGAGTTTCAGAAATCCTACATTCCTTGCCAAATGGGAATATCCAGTTTGGCTGTAGCTAATATATATATATCCACATAACAGACAAATAATTCTCTTTCAAAATAATGTAATAAATACATCACTCACACACACTCACACACACACACACACACACACACACTCTCTCTCTCTCTCTCTCTCTCTCTCTCTCTCCTTCTCCTACTCTTTTTCTCTTTCTCTCTTCTGGTGAACCACCCTCTGAAATAGGGAAATAAGGATTTCAAGTTTTCCTACCACTGAAGCACACCATACATAGGAAAAAAAAAAAAGATTCTGCTACAGAAATGAGTGGCATTACTATAAATCTGTTTCATTTATGTTTCCCCAACATGTTTTACTAAGGCTTGCCATGGCTCCTCAGACGTCAGATCTAGTCTGGCCTAAATGCCTCACAGTGCTGAGACACTGTGTAAAAACAATCTAACAGTCTAGTTAGAAACTTCAGCACAGAAATACTCAGCTTTGTCCAAACGCCTGGAATGTTTTTTCTATGCCTAACCCCTGTACTTCACTGGTTAGTTTTCTCTGTCTCCTCCCCGAAAGGCTATAAGCACATGGAGGTCTAGTCCTGTGATGATAGTTCCTGTTATTAAGGAGCTCATACCAGCCAGAGCTCAAGTAAGAAAAGGGTCAGCTTGTACTCACAGGGCACTTCACGTGGGTCAAAACAGGAAGAGACCATGGAGACGGAAACTACAGAACCCTGGACTGGGGCCTGGAGTGGTGACAGGGGAGCAGGACAGACAGCAAAGGCATGGACACAGGAAGAAACAGTCCAGTTTAGCTGGCACGAAGATACCTGTGAAGTCATCTGTCAGGCCACATTCTTGATTCCCAAAAAGAAAAAAATCCTTTACTCTGCGGGAAGACAGAACCACGAAGGCTTTACGTAGAAAACAAAAACCAGAGCTGTGCTAGAGAATAACCTGGGCAGGACGGATGACAAGGGAGAGAGTCTGACGCTCAGAAAGCGTGATTCACCACGCCTAGTGCCACATACAAGTATTTCCTATAGAAGCAAACATCTCAATAGGCCAAAAACCACAGTTCCATCATAAATTCCACATAAATCAAGCCTTGGGGATTGTGGGTAAATAGGTATTTTAGTTCAAGTTCCTGGAACCTGCTTCAATTTGAGCAAGTTAAGAGCAGTGAAATAATTCCCACAACCAGCAACAATTCAAATCTCCAATCGTGACCTTAACCTTCCCTGAGCTATCATTACCACGGAATTATAAAAGAATTATCAATCAATTCATTATAAATAAGTTCCTACCTGCCACTGAATCCCCTGAGCCCTCAGGATGGGCGAAGACCCCACCACAAGAACTAGCACGTGCCCACCGCCTACACGGGCAGCGCTGCGGGCTGCTGCGAGGCAGCGGCTCCTCCTCCCAGTGCAGCTCACTGGAGTCACTACGTGGATGCCGCAGCTCTCCCCACGGCCCCCATCGTGGACCGTCCATTTCCTGTGGGTCCGGACTGTTTTCCTCCACTAGCTGGGGAGAGGCCGTCTGAGTGGAGGAATGGGAGGCAGGAAAATCATTATTAATGTCTCGATGCCCACAGAACCAAAGTAGATAAGAATTTCCTGGGACACATTCATTCAAACTAGAGAAATAGGCTGTTCCACACTAATCATGGGACAGGTCACCGCACAGCCCCTCGGTGTGGGACATTCACTAGTGATCAGTTCCCAACACCATCAGATTCATTTGGAAACTGCGCACTGCAGAAGGCAATCTTGTGACTTTCTTCTAGTTTTATATAAAAATTCAAACTAGTCTAGGAGTCAGGCACAGTGGTACAAAATCATAAGCAGAAAGATCTGATCAAAGAATGTGCTCATTCCGTGCTGCAGAACTCAGAACTCCTATCGAGATTTTGGTTTTTGGAAATTTACTGCTGGCTCATTTGTTCAGAGAGGGTTCCTTCACACTCCTCTCTCCCACTCCTGCCCCGTTCCCGTCCTGCTAAAACTCACTACACGAAGGACACCTAGGATGGGTCCACGTGGAACTAAAAGCCTCAACCGAACTGAGTCCCATGCATCAGCACAGTGGCCGCTGGCTCAATCTGCTCACTCACTCAGCCTAAAGCATTTGGGGACTGTTGGGATCTGAATTCTAGCTGGAAGTACCTAGAGCTTTTGTCTTTTTGAATCCAGTAAAAACGTTAATGTACACTATAAATTCCATGTATAGAAAATCTCTGATTCTTGTAAGTGAAGTTCGGGGGAGGGAAGATGGACTGGGTACAGAACACCGGTGGTAAACCAGCCATGTGCCTCCCTTTCCTGTAAATAGGAGGCTGAGCCAGAGCATCCTCAGTGTGCAGCCCCGGCTGACGCTCCAGGACTCCACTGAGTCCACCTCTACCCAGGTTTGTCAGGCTGGATCAGAAAACTTCCTTACCACTTTATGTCGGCAATTCCAAGTGGCTGTAACACACCTCTGTGATGCAGCTTGAGGCCTCCCTCTTCCTCTTTACCCCTCAAAGAATGTTTCACCTCGCTGGGGCAGACCGTTTGGCCAAACTGGTGGCTACTGAGATTTAAAACTGAACCGCTGACCTGGTGGAGACCTGGCCTTTGAATAACCTAGCCCAGGGCACACTTGTCTGTTTTTCATTAAAAATGTTAACCACATAGAAATATAACTCTGTTAGTCCTTCTATAGATACACTTAAACTTTGCGATAGATTATTCAAAAATTACATAAGAAAATCACCCATCACCACTAAGTTAAAGACGAATATCAGAGAGTTCCAAAGCCTCGAACTCCTTATAGGCATTGATCCACAGCATTTTCCTTGTGGCAAGGGACTCCATGAGAAAGTAGCCTGGTCTTGTAGCATATTTCTGCACCAGGAAGTAGATTTTGAAAGAGCGGGTGCTAATCATCACTGTCACTGCCAGACTCACTCAACTGCAAGTCATTTCCTATTAAAAGAAAACAATCCAATCAAAAGCACAGAATTTAAAAATGACTTCCTCATTTAGGTTGACTGATTTGGCTATCACACGACAGCAAAACCTTGCCAATTCAACTTAATTACAGTGAAATCAATTTGGCTCACTGAAAAAACTGGTGCAGTAAAGATTTTAAAGAAATACTATTTTTGCTATTTCATAAGCACCACAATATTGCTTATTAGGATAGAATGAGGAAGGAGTAGGTGAAACAACTTTCAAACGTGTTAATAAATAGTAAGAAAATACTTATAAATAACAAAAAATCATCTGGAAGAATTATTTACCTTAAGTTGCTTTATCAAAGCTAAGAAAACACTAAGTAAGGCTTCCCATTAAGGAAGCTGAATGCTACTTACACCAATGTATCCCAAACCAATATCCCACTGGTATACCTCTGGTCCAAGACAATCATATTATTTTAAACCTCCACTCTGACCTAATTGGCTTTATAAAGCCCCTATTCTTTTTTGGTACACAGAATTTTTAATTTAGGGACATTCCAAGTTAATATAGGTCCTGAGGCCTTCTAACTTCTTGGCTGTGTAAGGCCAGATTTTCTTCATGTACATCCACTTATGCTGAAGACAGGCACTTCTGGCAATGTTTTGAGATGCTTCCGGCTGACGGGGTTGAGCGGTGGTGCTGGCATCTAGTGGACAGAGGTCAGGGACTCTCACACATTCTATAATGCACAGCACAGCCCCACAATGAAGACTAACCTGGCCAAACATACCCACAGGGCTGACGGTCAGATTACCTAGCCACTAGATAGCCCACTACTAGGCTGGTTAACTAGGCTAGTTTCCCTACCATAGTTGCCAGACCTTCCAACCTCCACAGAGGAAGCAACAACAGGGAGAACATTCATCACACCAGTGAGACAAAAGCATCATCGGTCCTCTCTCCAGCTCCAAAACTAAAACACTTCTGTTCTGATTCTCCTGTTTACTTTAGATCAGCTGCAGTAAAAACCACCCAAAATTCCTTCTTTCCCCTCTTGCCAGAGGTTAGCAGGTCTCCAGAAAGAGGCAGTGCACTCTTTTTCATAGAAGACCTAGAGGAAGGAACAGTGTGGTGGCTGGTAGCTCCCCCTTAAACTTGGTAAATACAAAAACAAAGAGCCCACCCATTTCTGTTTCAGCATTTTCAAGAATTCACAAAACCCAGTTTGTGCCAGTGGGGAGTGGAAAAGATAAAGAACAGATTTTCAACTTTGTGCACCCCTTTTTGCTATTTGGTAACACACGCCTTTCTGCTCCGGATCATCTTTGCCAAGAGCCTTTCCTTACCTTAAATGCCTTCGGGTTTACAGAGTTTGGCGTAAGAGAAGCAGAAGCTGCTCCACAGCCCTTACTCAGCTGTTGCAGCGAAAGCACACTTACTGAGGGTGTTCATGAGCTGGTTGCTTCCTTGCGGCCGGCTGGTTCCATTGGCAATGGCAGGCCTGCTGTTGTAGGGCTGCTGGTGTGATGGCTGTGGAGGAGAGGCCGGGCCGTTGTCCTCCCCTCCACTGCTGGAGCTGTCGTCATCACTTCCTGAGGAGCTCTCAGAGTCAGAGGAGCTGCTCCCACTGCTGCTGCTCATCTGCTCGATAATGTCGACCTCAGCCCTCAGCTCTGGAATGACATGAGTGTGACATGGTCATCTCAGCGAGCATTCTCGAGGCGCAGCGAAGGCGCTGCTATACACAATACATTGGCAAAACCTATAGACGTAAGGAATCGTTACAACGAACTCCTCCTCCTCGATTCCTTAAAAAGCTCACAAATAAAAATTACCAAAACCAAAACCAACAAACAAAAGTCTTAACTTGTTTCCAGAGAGACAATGAAAACATTAAATTCCCCCAAAATAAACAGCAGGCTGTTTCAGAATAACGACTGCTCTGTAGGAGAAACAAACTCAGTCTATTACTGATCTACTTTTCAAAAGACGGTGAGTTATGGGATAAGATCCCAGTAAGAGATGAAGAGTATTACGCTAAAAGGAATAGGAAAATATTTGAGTTAGCAATTAGAGAGGTCGAAAATGCTTACTTTGGATCTATAACAACAGTGAGACCCAGCCAGAGAAGGCAATGAGTTTTCTAAGCCACTCTGGAGAAAAAAAGGACAGACAGGCCCTGAGATCCCTTCCCGTTCTCACGGAGGCTTGCAGGAAGAACCACGGCAAGTGAAAAAAAAAAAAGGTAGACCATCATTCCTCTTCTCCGCTCTTAGACTTATCTGACTAATGAACATGTCTGTCAAATATTGCATTTTTCATAGAATTAAAGTATGGGAGAGAAGGCATGTTTTACCTAGCCATTTTGATGTTACAGGGTACATCAAGAAAGATGTCACACTTTCCTAACCAAATACACCACATGGCCCTAAACAGTGATGGTTCCTTTAACCGTAACTGGCAACAACTAACCATGCACATGTAATTCCTGTTTGACTGCAGTGGAAATTTTCACAACATTGTAGTATCAATGAGGAAAAACTGAAACAAGAGCTGTAACTACTATGTACAGTACAAAAAGAGATTATTTGTGAAAAGGCAGCATTTTTATAGAGTAGAAAAGGCAAACTTCCCAAGAACAATTCTTTATTTTTCCCTATCTTCTCCTAGTATGAATTTAATTTTGTTTAATGAAACTTATAAATATGAACTATGACACTTACTCTCATAATTTTTAATAGTCTGGAGGACCAAAATGATCCATTGTGTGGGAGAGAAAGTCAAGGTAAGCTTGTCACCAAGCAAAAGTTCTATGTCCTTCTAGGCCTAAATTCATTTTTACTGGTCTAGTGGCCACCTTCATGCTTACACACGTTGCGTCAGCATAAAGCATTTGGTCACATTTTTTTTTGGTCTTTTTGAGACAGGGTCTGGCTATGCAGTTCAGGCTGGCCTTGAGCTCACTTTGTAGCCCAGGCTGGCCTTGAACTCGCAATGATCCTCCTCCCTCAGCCTCCCCAGTGCTGGGATTACAGGCCTGGGCCACCACACTCGGCTTGGTCACACTATTTTAAATGCCTCCCGTTATGGTTGATACATTGTGTCAACTTAAAGTCTAGAAACTTAACTAAGTAACTGAGCTGTTCTGCATCCTGGGGTGAAAAGCACAAGCCTTTCCTGCTGTAGGATGTGGTTCATTGTGTCAATCTGAGAAGTTTAGAAGGTTAACTGTGACTCAGCAGGGAGCCAGGGTCCTTACTTTGTATTCATCCTGAGCCTGTGCAAGAGGAGGGCATGGAAACTGTGCGGGTGCTACACCCGCCCTGGGAAGCAGGGTAGCCTCCTTACAATATAAGAGAGGAGAAGAGGCTTGTTTGCTCCCCTTGTGCTCTTGCTGCTTTTGCTATCTTCTGCCACTTAAAGGGTTGCCCCTGTGCCATGCCACCTTGCACAGCAGCCCGCTGATTATGGACTGAAACCTCCACAAACCATGAGCTAAATAAACCTTCCCTTCCTTAACTTTGGGTGTCGGGTATTTTGTCCCAACTACGAGAGAAAAGTAACCAAGACAGCCCCTTAACTCAGATACTTTATCAGCATAGAGCTCAGACACTGTCCCATTCGGTTTTCACCCCTAACATCTGCAACCCTTTCCTTCTCCAAAACCATGTGGAGCTTTAGATGGCTGTGCCTCTGAGAATGTTGGCAAGGCAGCCACAATTCAAGCCACTGTTCCTGGATTCACCCTTGGCAAATGTGATAGGTGACAGAATTCCCCACGCTCACTAGCTCTGGAAAAGGAAGCTTTCAGGGAAAAAATGTTCTTTTTGCAGGATTGGGAACTGAATGCAGAGCCTTCCACATGCCAACAAAGCGCTCTACCACTAAGCGACATCCCCAGCTCCTTTTATTTTAAGGTAGTCTTGCTAAATTGCGCAGGCTGGCCTTGAACTTGTATTTCTCCTGCCTCAGCCTTCTAAATAGCCAGGGTCACAGGCATACAGTGGTAGTCAATGTCCAGGATGTCATGTTAAAACAGCAGCTTTGTGATCCCTAAAAGAACATTCACACTCTATTTCTATATTATAGCTATCGTGGCTCCAGAAAATGGTCTCTACCTCTTTTGATGTCATCCAGCTGAGGTTCCGGCGAGGGGTTATCCTTCAAGGGAGAAGTTTTGGGTCCAGCTGGAGGCTTTGTTGGAGCTCTGAAGGGCATAGGTGGTGGAGGCGGAGGTGGAGGAGGCTGTGACGGCTGCGGGGGACGAGTAGGCTGCTGTTCCATTCGGGCCTGGATCTTACTGCTCCCCTCAGCTCTGAGATGAGACAGACATTAAAGCAGATGGGTGAAAACAGTGGTTCTCAAATTTGTCCAGGTAACTAAGCATCGAGACGTCTCTGCAGAACCCCATACCTTTTCCAGACCACTGCAAACTACCAGTATTTATGATTTTATCTGAGTACTACTTACTGAACATCTACGTGATTACTGCATTTCAATCCTGCGCTGTGAATCAGTAATACTGAGGTAAGTAAAATGGCATTACTACCTGCAAGAAGCTTACATTTTATATCAAGGAGATAATACAGGCCAGGCACGGTGGCTCAAGCCTGTAATCCCAACACTCAGGAGGCTGAGGCAGGAGGATTATCATGAGTTCCAGGACAGTCTGGGCTATATAGTGAGCTCAAGGCCAGGCTGAACTACATGGCAAGATCCTGTCTCAAAAACAAACAAACAAACCCACAAAACAAAAAACTCACAACAACAACAAAAAGGAAACAATACAAGTGTAGGACTGTTATTATTAGAATTCACTTTACTAACAGAACATATGACTATTTCACTTGCATGCAACATAAGGTTATAATCAAGAGTATACAAGTTTGTGAACCAGCTAGCTCCTGAAAATGGCCAGCTCACAAATATTTGTTCACTGCTTGTTCACTGTGTCACAGAGTCCGACACCAAACAGAAAATTCTATCCATTTTTAAGGGAACTGGTCTAGTGCTACCTTTTTCTTCTTTCTCTCCCTCCTTTCCTTATCTTTCTTGTTCAGTACTAGGAATTGAGTCTAGGACCTTGTGCATGCTAGGCAAATGCTCTGCCACTGAGCTGTATATCTCCAGCCCTCCTTTTAAATGTTTTTTGTTGTTGTTGTTGTTGTTTTTTTTTTTTTGAGACAGGGTCTTGCTCAGCTGCTCAGCTGCCTAAGCTAACCTTGAACTTGTGATCTTCCTACCTCAAGCCCCGCAAAGAGCTGGGATTACAGGTCTGTGCCACTAGGCTAGCTTCAGTGCTTCTTAAAACTTAGCACAGCACGAATCACCTGGAGGCCTCTGCAGATTCTGAGCTGGTAGGTCTTGAGATTCTGCATGTCTAACAAGTATCCCAGTGACCCAATCCGCCAGTCCCCGGATCACAGGGAACAGAAAGTAATAGATCACCACTATCAGATATCCAAAGAGTAACAGTAGCATCTGGTTCACTATTAGGGAAAGATACAAATATACAGAGCAGCACAATAGGAGAAAAGGCTCCATGATACACTGCCTATGGCAGTAGGGTTTAGTTAAGTCATAACACCTCCGTAATTTTTAGTCTCATCTGTTCTTTGTTTTGTTTTCTAGGATAACAGCATCTTTCTAGAAGTTTCTCATGACTCGATAAGATAATGTACATAAAGACATAGAGTATATGGCAAAGTGCCTAATATACAACCTCTCAATAAATGGCAACAGTTGGATTTTTTTGTAGAATGAGTGAATAAAGAAAAATGGCTTGAGGAAACACAAACAGAAAAGCATCAGATTCTAACACTTCTTTTAAAACTCAATTACTGCCCGGTGTGGTGGCGCATGTCTGCCTGTAATCCCAGCACTCGGGAGGCTGAGGCAGGAGCATGGTTGTGAGTTTGAGACCGGCCTGGGCTACAAAGTGAGCTCAAGGCCAGCCTGAACTGCATAGCAAGACTCTGTCTAAAATGACCAAAAATAAAAAATAAAAAAAAAAACCAACCCTCAATTACTGTATTTATAATTACTGTATTACAATGTAACCAATAGAACCACTTAGTTACTTCCATTAGATAGGGAATGCCTGTTGAATGAAATATTGAAGAAAGTTCACCATCTAAGAAAGTGGGCAGTTTTATTTTGGTATTATCAAGTGTATCCTGTTAAGAAAGTAATGTTTTACCCTAATAAAGTTATTCAATAATTCTTTTGTACTTCTAAGTCTATATAAACATAAAGCTTAACCTTTAAATGGTACTATATTAACAACAAGATATCAACAATACACTGTATCGACATCTGTACTACATCAACAATCATGAGACCGACTCCGTTGGCTTAATTAATAAAGTAACTTGCTTTTCCCAATGACTTCCATGTTTTAGATCTTAAAAGCATTATTTTTTTTTATTACATTTGAGGAAAAAACTTTTTTTTTGTCTTTTTGAAACAGGGTCTCGCATTGCAGTTCAGGCTGGCCTTGAGCTCACTTTGTAGCCCAGGCTGGCCTCAAACTCACAATGATCCTCCTGCCTCAGCCTCCCAAGTGCTGGAATTACAGGCGTGTGCCACCACGCCCGGCGAAAAAAATTTTAATGATGTCTGAGAAAATATAAGTGGAGCTGTTACCACTATCAATATAACACTAGGAACCAGTAGCTATTTACATTCTTATAAAACTGGAACAGGTAATACAAAGGTATAGAAACAGCATATAAATCCTTATCTGGTTGTTCACCTACCTGGTTTTCTTGACCTGAATGCTGCTACTGAGTTTTTCCAGTACATATTCACCAGTGTCATGGTTAATAATAAGCACACAGTCTTTCTGATAAGGCCGTTTGTTCCCCTTGAACACAGTCATTGGTGGTGTGGATCCCTGTGTGCCACAAAAGTATAAGATGATCAAACTAAACACTCCAGTTATGAATATCAATATCAAAACTGATGCTACAAATGACTCTACCTCATCAAATCTTTTATCAGAGCTACTCAAAAGGAACAGAAAAAAAGGATTTCTTTTTTTTTTTTTCTGTCTTTTTGAGACAGGGTCTCACTATGCAGTTTAGGCAGGACTTGAGCTCACTTTGTAGCCCATGCTAGCCTCGAACTCGCAAGGATCCTCCTGCCTCGGCCTCCCAAGTGCTGGGATTACAGCCTTTTGCCACCACACCCAGCCGGATTTCTACCTTAAATCGTTCCGCTTTCCCAGACAAAACAAAAGAGAAATAATAATGTAGCAAGAATCTGTGACTGCAGCTGGTTGCAGGTAATCAAGAAAAATAGTGTAACAATTTTTAGTTACTGTACATGTTTCAAGAAATTGGGAAATATTACAAAGAACAGCAGAAGTGTGAAGTGAGAAAAACTACTACATGTACCACACTGAGTAGAGGTAGCACTATGTACAGTAAAGCTAGTGAGTAACCTCTGTATTTCTCGGTAATTGCAAGGCACAGGGCTTCCCGCTCACGTCAGTAACACAGCATTCTTCAAGAGCAGGTTATTATTCTGGGTAGCTGAGAGTAAGTATACGATGCTCCTGATACTCACGCATCTAAGTCCTGCAACAGCAAGTCACCCTCAAGCCCAAGGACAACATCTGTAAGCCAGCCATCCGGCCTTGTACCATCCGCCCCTGGTCTGTGCTTCAGAGCACACTCCTCTCGGATTCTCAAGCTCATCCCTGCCTCAGGGCTTTCACAAAGCTTCTGCCTGCTACATCTTCACTGAATTTCTAAATTACTCAAATGTCAGATAATCTCAAAGATTACCACCTTTAAGGGGATCCTTCCTTGATTTTCTAGAATAAGTGCTATGTTTTCTGATATTTATATAAATTCCAGACTACAAGCTCCACCAGGGCAAGAAATGTGCTTATTGTGTTCAAAGTTGTATTCTTAGTGTTCAGTAATGGCCAGTACACAGTAGTCATTCAATTAAAAATTTGTCAATGTAGGATTTAATGCCTTGTTTAGAATCAAAAACTGCCTGGCTCTTTGCTTCCTTATTTATGCAGGAAAAATCTAGAGCTGGAAGATACCTTAGAGACCATTTAACTAACTCCATTTTACATCTGGGAAACTAATGTCCAAAGGGAGATGATGCAACCTGCCACAGGCAACAGGTAATAAAATAGGATGGATGGACAAATAATTTTTCTTAAGCACACACATTTCCAGGTCTCTCTGTCCAGAAATTTTTCATATTATCAGCACCTAAAAGGAACTATGTTCCAGGACAGAGCTGTGAAACACCATGACATATGTTCACTAAGAGCTCGAGTGACTCTTCGGGCTTTGTGCTCAGGGCGATGTCCTGAGCAGGGTTGCACAAAAGTCTGTCAAGTGCTCAATATAATTCTTGATCCCTAAATTAGCTGAATGCTCCAAACCTCTAGCTCCTTCCCAAGACTATCAACCTGCTCATAACTCCTTAGCAGATATCAACATGTCACTCTTACTCTTGCCTGCCTTTTGACTGCCCCATGCTCAAGAGCTATTACGGTTATATGTCAGCAGAGTTACTTGAGACAAAAGCTGTGCATACCTAACTGAGGGCCTAGGTGTCCAGTCAGGAATCTTGACTACTATATAGCACATAGGGGGAAAGAGGATTGGGAAAAATTAAACAATCATTTTAAACAAGTGTCTTCGTAACAAACTCCACCCTACTCCATCCTGCCAAATTTCTCTTTCATTTATGTTGGCACTTTAGAAATCTAAATATTTTTCAACAGGGGAGATTCAAATTGCAGTAACATAAACTATGAGGATTCATTGTGGTCCAGTTTTAAAACCAACAACAATGGAATAAACTTACAGGGATATGTGGCAGCGTAATTGTGACTTCATCTCCTTTGCCAACCTGAAGCTCTCCTTCACAGGAAGTATCTATAGAAGCGGGCTTAAAATCATCTGTAAGCAAAGAAAAAGAAGATTTTCCACCAGTTACATTAGAATAAGGGCTTCCTAGGCATTTCGTTCAAGAATTAAAAGTGTTTGTTATTCACAAAACTGGAATAACGAAACGGAAAACAAAAATGATTTAGAATTCTTAAAAAACTATTTCATTATAAATCAAAATATACCGTACACAGGTACACATTTCCTATGATGAATATGATCTTTATGCATATCTAAATTGTGCCAATAAACCTAATTTAAATTTTTTTTTAAAAAACCCATTTCATTATGGAAAACTTCACATACCCAAAAGTAGACACAGTACAATGAACTCCAAGGTATCTTCATTCAGTTTCAATAACTACTAAGGGACACCTACACATACATACAGTACTTTTCCACCAACCTCCATTGGAAAATTTGGAAGGGCTAGAATTTGCACATTTTATAAAGCAAAGATATCCCTTCTCCCAAAGGACAGATGAAATTCATGCTTCATCATCCATAATAAGATGTTTTATTAGGGTTGTGAGGATCAAAAACAGTAGAACATATAAGAAAGTTTTGATTGTAAAACCCTCTATGACACATGAAAGGCCATAGCATCATAAAAGCTGATTTGGCACAGAACCTGTCCAAATTAGAATTTACCACACCCAAGTTCCACAGTATAGACAAAGATACTTCTGCAGAGGTTCAGACCAGACAGCTGAACTGTATCCCCAAAGGTTCTCCTGCTAGTGCTTATGAACTGCAGTTACACAACACCAATAACCATCTTCACATAAGCACAACTTGCTTCAACTGCAGGCCAGGTACATAGGTGACCGATCTCATTTAAATTCCACACTGCCCTTCACTGAAGGAAAATATCAGCTCAGTAAAGTCGGGAAAAGATGGTCTGCCAATATTCAGTCTTTCAAAGAGCTGGGTCTGCTGTCAGAAGGAAGCCCAGAAATGCGTAACAAGTGACCACACAAAGATGGAAGGAACTTCATGATCGAACCCACCCTCCTCTTATGCGCTGAGTCACATCTATTAGCTCCTCTGACAAAACAAGTCCTAACCAGTGTTAGTGCTACAGGAAACCCGAAGCTTGTGAATCACTGCGGGATGCGCTGTCAACCAAATCCTGAGTGCCCAATCTTTACCCAAAACACGGAGTGGAAGCAGCCCTTCTCCACGAAGTCTATAATCACGTAGGGAAAGGTCCAGCACAATGACTCTCCCGATATTCCTTATGTCTGCTCTTGTTTCCAAACATAGTCCGTGCTGTAGTGTACGCCTAGCTCACAAATTTTAATTTTATTTTTCGTCTACAAGGGATCTTAGGGCCGGGGATATAGCTCAGAGGCACAACGCCTGCCTGGCATGCGCAAGGTCGTGAGTTCGATTCCCGGTACCAGAAAAAAACAAAAACAAAAACAAAACCTACAAGGGACCTAGTCCAGAAGTCCGGGTAGTAAAGGTGACCTCAAAAGACATCAGTGTGAAATGAGGCACGGAAAAGAAGGGAAAGGCTTTGATGAGGCGCAAAAGGGCGTCATTTCCTTGGCCGCAGATGGGATACGCACAAGAGTAGAGTGGCCAGAACCAAAGCAGAGAAGGAAAGAAGGCGGAGGAAAGGATGGAGTAAGGAGACGAGGCTCACAGCAACCGGGGAGAATCCAGTAAAAGTGGAGGGCCCTGATGGGATCACAGAACAGCGGGGAGAGGGGAAGGGAGACCGAGGCAGACCTGGACCGCGATGAAAGAGGGAAGGCTGGCTCAAGAGCTCGGCGGCGGCATAAGTGAGGAAGGAGCCGAAGCCCTTGGGCACGTTTAGGACTGTAAGGTAGGAGAAGAGCTGGGACAAAAGGCTTGGTCTGGGAGGAGCGATCTCAGAAAAATGAAGAAGAAACAAACCGAGGCTCCAGAGGATCGGGGGTAGCCCAGAAGGGAACGGACGTTAGCAGGGAGTTCCCACGCTCCGGGCGCCGGGGGAGGGAAGGAAGGAAGCAGCGGGGCCGGCCGGGGCGGCCGCAGGGCAGCGTGGCGCGCGCCGACTCACAGCGAATGGTGTGGAAGGAGGCCCGCGGCCGCTTCTCGAAGCTCTCTCCCAGGCGCAGGCAGTGCTCCTCACGGTCCAGCAGTGGGTTCGCCGTCCCGTTCATGGCCCCGGATCAGCGCTCTCCCCTCGCCGCCGCAGCCTCAGTTTCTCGCACAGGCGTCCGGTACGCAGCGCAGCGACAGCCCGGCCGGCGCCCACCGGGGGCCCGGAAACAAATCTCCTCCTCGTCGGGGTCGGGGAGACGCCAAAGAAGCAAGGCCGCAGGACTTCCGGCGTGGGGCGGGACTTCCGGGCTTTATCGGAAGTAGCTGGAGAGGTCCTGCGGCGTGCGAAAGCCGCCCGGACGCAGCGGCCACTGTTCAGATTGCGGGTTTCTCCGCTGGCTGCCCGGTTGCCCTTCCCAGGGCCTGGCCTGGCTGAGCGGTGAGTGCGCACTGCCCTGCCGTGCGGGTGAGGCGAGAGCTGATGACGGTGAGCCCAGAGCGTGGCGACGAGGTTGGCGCGGGGCTGACGGCTGGCATGGCCGCCCTCCGGGGCCCCGGCGACCGGCGCAGCCGGCTTTATCCCGAGCGTCCCGAAGGAGGTGGCTCCCAGGACCGCAGCCGCGAGTCTCTGGGTCGCTTCCTTCGGGCCGTGGTGGCCTTTGCGAGGGCCTCCGTCCCCAGAAAGGGACGCCTCCTTCCGGTTCGTGCGTCAGCCTCCTGTGAGTGCGATCCGAGACTCAGGCCACCCAGACTTAGCGCCATCTCTTCGGAAAAAAGCGGTGTCCGGCCCTATGGACGCCGTGACCCCACTTCTGTCTGGCAGCTGACTCCCCGCTCCCAGCTCGGGCAGCTGTTGTGTTGTTTTTTAAATCGCTCTTTGCACGGGCACCGAAATGGAGTATTTTTGTCCCAGGGTTTCTCAGCTCTGGTTTGTTTTGTCTTGTTTTTCCAAACGGAACCGATTTATTGCAATAGTTGACCACTTCCGGTTTTGTGCCAGAGTTCAATGCAGGAGGCAGACGCGGCCTCTGAATGTGAGCTCTTTGGGAGTAGGGACTGGGTCTTCGTCTGTGTGACGTTTCTGCCTACAGCGTATAGCAGGAAGTGTCTGTATGGTATCTCATGTCTCGTGAATTGAACTCAGCATCTGAAAGAACTGTTCCAGAACAACTAAGCCAGTGTCTGAAGAAGCTATTCTAGAACCGCCCCTTCTGTGTTCTAAAGAACTGTTCCTAGAGCCACTAACCAGAATCTTATTCTTTGTTCCTGCAAGGCGCCGTGTGACGCTGAGGTTTGAAAACTACCTGAAAAAAAAAAAAAGCATCTGAGAGAAAACTCTGGTGCTCAGTATCAGCATGGATTTCTCAACTTATGGGAAGGTGGAGAATCATCAGCAATGTTAAATGTATTAGCAGCCCCCTGTGAGATGGCTTCCTTGCAAAGGAAAGGATTGCAGGCAAGGGTTCTCACCTCTGAAGAAAAAGAGAAACTGAAGAGTGACCAAGCTTTGGTGTCTGATTTTAAACAGCAAAAACTGGAAAATGAGGCTCAGAAGAACTGGGACCTTTTCTACAAAAGAAATAGCACCAATTTTTTCAAAAATAGACACTGGACCACCAGAGAGTTTGAGGAGCTAAAATCGTGTAGGGAGGTAAGCTGGTATTTCACCTTACCCTGAGCTGTTCTTCATTTCAAATGTATGGAAGTGGGGCTGGGGCTATATAGCTCAGTGGCACAGCACCTGCTTGGCAAGCGCCAGGTTGTGAGTATCCTGGTACCAAAAAAAAAAAAAAATGTATAGAAGAGAGATGTTATATTGCATTCCTGTACAGAATACGAAGTAGAGCATTTATGAAGCCTATCAAAATATTTTGTACCTTTGGAGACAAATACACTGTTCAAGTAGTTTTAGCAATTTCTGGATTAATACAAAGGAGAGACTTTAGTGGTTGTTTTCTATTTTTTAAAGCTAAGCTGAAAGTTGTGAACAGTAAATATTCATACTCTGAACGTCAGTGACATATTGAAATAATGATAGTTAATGTTACGGAAAGGAGCTGAAGAGCTTGGAGTTGAACAGCTGACCGCAGATTGTGCAGGTGCGAGGAGGCAGCCAGGTCTTCATGTTCTCCGTAGCAGTTTTCCCTGTCCGGCCTGTGGCCTGATTTCCTGAACCCTGGAAGAAGCGTTGAATGCCATGGCCAAGGATTCCAGCGGTCTTGTACAGTTCAGGAGGAAGCAGTCTGATGTGTACACTGAGCACATGGCATCTTGGTGGTGGCCGTGGAAGATTTTGTTTTCATGTTAGGAAAGAAAAATGCACCAGGTAGTTAAATAAGAAATGGTGTGTGAAACTTCACAGCGCAGTGCCTTGGCCTCCTGCAGTTGGGTATCAAAGTGTGTGTGTGTGTGTGTGTGTGTGTGTGTGTGTGTCTGTATGTGAATGTGAATAAAAGGGGACCACAGCTTGTATTAAATGTGTAATGTGTAAGTACCATGGCAAATAATAAGCCCTTAATAGTAGGGAAAGGAGAGAAATGGGTTGCATTCTAGTGCATATTTCTAATAAATGAGTTTATTATATTCTAATTATTCCAGTTTTGAAGCCATACTATACATTGTGGCAGATCTTCCAAATCTTGCTGGCTTTCTAATAAAAAAAACTTCATTATATAATAAGATAGTTAGTGTTAATGAACTATTTATCTGGGCCGTTTCCTATGAACTTTACACGTGCTCTCTCATTTAAGCTTTGTAGGAATTCTATGACTTGTGTTAGTATTGTCCTCATTTGCAGGTGAAACTGAAGGCCAAAGCTGTTTAAATGATTTGCCCAAGAATAGGATTCAGGGGCAGAGGAGAGTTGGGATTTGTGCACAGGTTTGCTCCAGAGTCTCTTCAGTTAAGCAGTATACTAGGTTTTTCCTCCACACCAAGCCATCCAGTGTCAGGTGATGATCAGTGAAGTACTAGTATTGACTTTTGCTTGTGAATTCTCTTACTGTCTGTTCTGCTGGGTCAGAGATTTTGTCTCTTACATTCTGGATATTTTCATTATGCATGTGTAATTACTATAATTTGGGGTTTTCTTTCCTCAGTTTGAAGGTCAAAAATTGACTATTCTTGAAGCTGGCTGTGGAGTTGGGAACTGTTTATTCCCGCTTTTAGAGGAAGATTTGAATATCTTTGCCTATGCCTGTGATTTTTCTCCAAGAGCAGTCGAATATGTTAAGGTTGGTGCACCATCTATGTATGTATATTGCTATTTTCTTAGATTTGTTCAACCTAGCCTCTCTCCCCATTTTCCTGATTCCAGTCCTCTCCCTGCAGCTAATCAGCTAAAATCACTGCAAGTGTAATTTTCCTTTTACAGACATACCCAACACAGCTTTAATCAAGGAATGTAGGAAAAAACATAGCAAGACCTAAATATTTTAAACTTTTTGTTTATAGAATTGTCTTTACTGAACTCTTAGACATCAAGACTCACTCCTAAATACATACACCTGTATACATCTCCCCCTAAAGTAAGGCCTTTTTGTATACAACCATAATTAGTTTATCATACCTAATAAACATAACTGTAATCCTCTAATACCCTCTTAGCACCCATTCCAGATTCAGATTTTCCCAAGTAGGTCCCGATGTCTTTTCAGCTGTTTTTAATCCAACTAAGGACTACCTCTTACACGTCTGTTATGTCATTTAAATCTTTTTAGCTTAAAATACTTGTGTCCTGTCCCTTACCTTTTTACACCACTGACATTGAATTTCAGAGAGTTCAAATCTACTTTGTATATTAAAGTCCCACATTCTAAGTTGGCCTGATTGTTTCTTTGTGCTATTATTTAATTTGTCCCTCTATTTCTGTATTTCTTATAAATTAAAAGTTAGACAAATATTTTATGGCAAGTAATATTTTGATAGGTGATGTATCTTGCTTGTTGGTATCTTGTCAGGAGGCAATAATGCCTGGTGATCTCACTAAAGTGATACTAGTTTTAATCACTGGATTAAGGTGATTAAATCAGCAGCCGTCTGATTCTTCCATTGTAAAAATATTTACTTTTGCCATTAATAGGTTTGTGGAGGACACCTTGGCAACACGTCAATATCTAATTCCCCATCAACTTTTCAGACTTTTTTAAACATAGTAATATCATATTTAGTGTAACTTGATTTGTCTGCTCTATATTACATCTTGCAGTCTTTCATGTTAGTGCATGTAGATTACCACATATTTAACATGTTACAATATTCCATAGTATGTCCTACCTCATTTAATAGTACTCCTATGGATATTCATTTATATCATTTTTAGTTTTTTGCTCTTACAAATGGGATTAGTGTGAACCACATAATCCACATACTTCCCAAAATATTTAGTGTATACATATTTATTGTGTACATATTTCTCTCTAATGAATATAATGGAAGAAGTAGAAATTCCTTGGAAGAAGAGCATACACATTTAAATTTTAGTAAATAATGTCGTTTCCTTCTCAAAAGATTATATCAATTTATAATTTCTCCAGTGTCTCCATATTTTGTTTTTTGCTTATTAATAAAGAAGTTAAAGGTCCTCTAGTATGTAAATACACATATTTTTCTTCTGCCTTTATGAGTTTCTTTACATATGTTTATTGACAGTGTAGTATGTGCCAGTTACTATTCTGAGCACTTGGTTTAAACTGTAAACAAGAAACCAGACTGTGCTTTAAGCTGGGTGTGGTGGGGCGCCCCTGTAATCCCAGCACTCAGGAGGCTGAGGCAGGGGATTGCCACAAGTTCAAGGCCAGCCTGAAATATACTGCGAGACCTGTGGGGAAAGGTCTGTGATTACTAATGGATTGATAACTGGTGGTCGGCTTATGATCCCCAGCTGAACTGAGTGAACGAGGTGCAGGGTGTGGGAGGCTTGCCTGAGGATTGTTATCATCGGCTAAGAGGCAGAATTGGAAAGGGATAATGAATTTCTCCTTTTGGTTTTAGTCACGTTCTTTGTTCTAATAAAAGGTGATTAAGATGAGTGATCAGGGCCACCGCAGTTTGAGAGACTAAGCCCCCTGATCCCAGATTTTTAGCTCTCTTGTTTTCCTTGTCTCTTTTACCTTTTCTTATTCATCTATGGGTACCTTGTTCGCGGGACCTGTCATTATAGTTAATACCAACAGAGACCCTGTCTCTGAAAACCAGAAAAAGAAAATTCCCCTCTATGTGGAGTATCTATTGAATTGTCTGTTCAGAACTTTTGCACATTTTTCTATTGATTTGTCATTTTGTTTTTATTCTTAGAATGTACTCGGAAGAGCCTGCTATATATATTGCACACATTTCTTCCACTTCTTTCACTTTTTTATGGTGGTTCTTTTCTCACACAGAATTTCAATTATGTCAGATTTATAAATCTTTTTCTTTTAAGGTACTAAAGCTTTATGCTTAGTTTAGTTCTTAACTCCTAGAATTTAGACATACTTACCAATTTTTTATAAGTTTGTTATATTTTTTAATCTGGAAAAAATTAGTTATTAGTTCTTCAGATAATTTCTAATTCTCTTGTTCTCTCTTCTCTCTCTGGTATTCCATTTACACGTATAGTATACCATTTACTGTTATCCCACAGTTCCTAAATGTTATTTGTGGTTTCTTCCTCTTAAGGTTTTTTTCTTTAAAAGCATTTTCAATTTGTTTAATATCTGTGATCCTCTTATCAAGTTCACTGCATCTTTTCTAGATACAGGTGTTCCTATTGATGAACTCATCAGCAGCATTATTTCTGTTACCATGTTTTGGGTGTTCGGCATTTAAATCTGATATAGTATAATACAGTTTCCATCCATAAAATTACCCGGTCGTGCATGTTGTATCTTTTCCTTTAGTGTCTTTGTGTTATTTAAGTGCCCAAACTGTACGTTCTGTTGTCTTTGTCATATTTGAGTCTGGTTCTTTGATAGCTTGCTTTCTTCAGACTTGCATGCCTTTTACTTTTTTGTTGCCGTACAACATGTTAAGGGCTGTAATAGCTTGAGGTAATACGGATTTGCAGTCACCTAGTCAGGAGTTAGGCTGTGTTAGAAATTCTTGCTATGCGAGGTTTTGCTGTTGTGGGCCACAGAGCACGCTCCTCTGGTGGCTTTTTTCCTCTCACTCTGGCTTTGGTTCTTCCCTTTGTACTCTCCTGTCTCTCACAGCCTAGTTACAACTCACAGTTATTACTGCTGGTGACTTGTGGAGTGTAGGAGTAGGTATTACTAGTGTTTTGTGTTGTGTGGTACTGGGGATTTAGCCCCTGCTCTTGCACTGAGGTATATCCCAGCCCTTTTTATTTTGAGACAAAGTCTTGCTACGTTACCCAGCCAGGGCTTGAGTTCTTAGTCCTCCTGCTTTAGCCTCCCAGAGTGCCGGGATTACAGATGTGTGCCCCAGCACTCAGCGCTCCTCCATTTTTGAACTGTGGAGTGGGCCTGTGTGTCAAGGATGTGGCCTTCACAAGTGTTTCTACTTCTGTGAGACTAGACCTTTTCTTGCCCATCCCTCCCAGATGCAGGACCTATTTACCACCCCTTCCCCACCCCCACTGTGATCCCGAAGCTATTCTCCCTGCAGATTGACAAGGTTTGGGCTGAGTAGTTTTCCTGCCTGAAGCTGTAGTGATATCCACCAGTGACCTTAGGCTACAGCCATCAGTTGACCTTTCCACTGCAGATTCAGCCTTTTCCTCCTTAAAGGGTAGGATAACAGCTAGGACCGGAAAGAGCACTGTTTTCTCTCTGAGAACCTGGAAGTTTTCTTCTGGAAACAGCTTCCGAGGACTGGGAACAGCCCTATGATTTCACACTCTGCTACTCATTCTTGGTCTCTAGCAACTGGTCGGATTTCTACTTTTATCTTTTCAGTCTGCAGGCTGCGGCCTCAGTAAGGAGTGCTTGGGTCTTATGTCTCCCTGAAGGCATTTGTCTTTTTTCAAATTTGGGGATGGTAGATTCTGTAATCTGTTTTTTTGTGAGTTTACCAAAAGTCATTATTTTGCTACCTTTCCAGGTATTTTCTTACAAGAATGAGAGCTATATTTTTCCACATCTGTTCCTTTCTGAGCCAAAACTGGAAGTCTGTCAGTGTATCTGGGTAGCCAGTGGTCAGAACACAGTAAATTATGTGACTTGTCTCCCTTATTGCCTGCCTTGTTACTAATTTTCCTTTGTCTTTGAGTCATATAAAATACTAAATTCATATACACACAGGTGTATTCTGTCTCAAAGTGAACTCTTTGTCATAACCCTCAAACCACATTGTTTTATTACTATATTTTGTGTCTTACTTACGTGTAACACTCACAGGTTAAGGGAGGAAAGGTTTATTTAGCTCACAGTTTGTAGAGTTTCAGCCCATAATCTGCTGGCTCCAAGGCAGGGTGGCGCATGGCAGCAGAAAACAGCAAAAGCAACAAGTGCAAGATAAGCCTTTTTCTTTCTGTCCTTTCTGTTGTATCCAGTCTACTTGGATTAGGGCAGTACTAATCCCATCAGTGCACTGATTCAGCAATCACCCACCCTTAATCCCAGCACACTCTAGATTCAGCCACCTCCAAAAGAATCCTATGACCGCATGAGGCTTTGGGGGGAGCGTCGAGACACAAACCATAACAAACAGTATCTCCTTCATTGTTCTTCATGTTAAAAATTGATTCTTGCTTCTAGATAAATTGGATTTACCTTGTCAAGTTTCTATAAATCTATTGAAATTCAGTTGAGATTTCACTGGATCTGTACTTGGAGCCTTAAGTAGAACTGACATCTTTTTGATACTGAATTTTCCTGACTAGTAACTTTTTAATATTTACTCAGGTCCTCAGTTACATGAAAGAAAAGTTGAATAATTTTCTTCATGATAGTCTTATATATGAGTTACAACCAGTATGTATTAGAAACACAGGTTTATTTAGCTTACTGCATCAAGAGAAAATCTATCCCAGAAAAAACTATGGGAGCTTCCCATTTAGGGGATTTGAAAGGGCTTCTCATAAGGTTTAGGTTTGTAGGGGACCATTCAAAGGAGGATTCAGAGGACTGAGGCCAGCTTTATACTCAGTTAAAAGTTATTTGCTAAAAATGATATTTTATATGTGAATGATTCATTGTTCTGCTTTACCTAGTAACAAGTGATCATTTCTGTTTAGCACTGCACAAGGGGAAATAGGCTTTCCTTTCAATGTTATATGTTTCTATATATGTTAGTACGATTCTTAAGTTTTGTTTTTGTTTTTTCCCGCTAGCAAAATCCACTGTATAATACAGAGAGATGCAAAGTATTCCAGTGTGATCTCACTAAAGATGACCTTGTGGATCACGTGCCACGAGAGTCTGTTGATGCTGTCATGTTGATATTTGTGCTGTCAGCTGTTCACCCTGAAAAGATGCGCCTCGTCTTACAAAACATTTACAAGGTTAGTAATTTGGGGCCGTGCTTAAGAGGTGCTCATCCTGATCCCCTTGCTGACTTTCCTTCGGAGTCTTAGGTACTGGCCACAGAGTCTCCATTCTCACTAAGCAGCCTGTGCAGTCAGCTAAGGGTTTTTTTGCATAACACATCCACTATAACTGGGTTTTTGCAGTGCCTTGATTGCTGGGCACAGCTTCGCCAACCTGCAAGCAAGGATGATGTTGTGAGAATCTGTGTAGTCATACTTGTAAGGTGGGGTTATCATTTAGTAGTCAAGAACACAGTCTGGAGTGAGAGCATGTGAGTGCAAAACCTGGCATCACCATTTAGACAAGTACTTTTACCTCTTCAAGCCTTAGGTTCCTTACCTATAAAAAGTACAATGCCTAGAACGTGATCCAGTATGGGTTTTATTGATATTTAGATCCTGCCACATTGGTTTGACTTTAACTGGACAAAAAGAAGAAAAGGGATCAGGGAAGAGAGATTAGGATCACCTGATTTGGAGGTCTAGACAAGGGCAAAGGGTTATTAAAGATGAGGAACTAGAGAGAACTGAAGAGATGGAGGAGGGAGGATAAAGAGTGACTTGACTAACATTGAGAGGGGATTGAAAATACAGAGGATTGCCGGGCGTGGTGGCACATGCCTGTAATCCCAGCACTCAGGAGGCTGAGGCAGGAGGATTGTTGCAAGTTTGAGGCCAGCCTGGGCTACAAAGTGAGCTCAAGGTCAGCCTGAACTGCATAGCGAGACTCTGTCTCAAAAAGACCAAAAAAAAAAAAAAACAAAAAAAAGAGTGAGAGAGAATACAGAAGCCTTCTGTTTCTTAGTGTTGAGAAGGTTTAGGACTTTACCATGGTGGGTAAGATAGAGTTTAGATAGGGTGGAGAACAAGATCTTTAGAAGAGAGAAGATCAAATTTTTAAGAGACCAGCATATTTGGAAATACTGAAATTGAAGTAAAAAATGAAATAGCATTCAGAATAGGACAGTAAACCACAAGATACATTCCTCAAAGAATGGAGGAAGTGACACTAGAACTGATAAATGACAGTAACAGTAAGGAGTAGTAGGTAATATAATTTGATGACAAGAGATTCAGGGAGAAGGAGTTTAGAGAGAAGAAAGGTGAATGCATGGGAAGTAGTAAGGATATCAGCCCCATCACTAGGCCCAGTGGCACAGGATGATGAAAACACAGCCTGACTTGAGAGGTTGAAGGGAGAAATGTCCTCAGGAGACAGTTTTTTGTGAGGCTAAGAATATGAAGGGAACATTCAGAAAGAGTGGTGGATATTTACTGACTGATTTCACTAACGAGGAGTTTCAGGTATTCAGGAAGAGTTGGAGATAGGGATACAGTAAGACAAGTATCTGGAACGTTACCGGTGATCATGCATCACTTGACAGAATGTAATTTTGTCATTGTACAAACATGGTGAAGTACGTGCACACAAACCTATCACATGCTGTAGAGCCCACCACATATGTAGGCTGTATGTTACAGCCTATTACTTCTTGGGTCATGACAACACAATATGATAACATGATAACAAGATTAAATCAAGAACAAGAGAAACAGGATGCATTCAGGAGACGCAGTGAGCACAAGATACATAAGTATACTGGTTCACAGTCAGCTTTTTTTAATAAGTAGGAGTACACTCTGCAATTAGAAGAAAATACAGCTCATAATGTGCAATGGTTTGGACATGGTTTGAATTTTTGCCTCAGGAGTTTATCCTTTGGAAGCTGGGCCGCCAGTGTGGCAATGTGAGAAGCAGTAGAACTTGGAGAGTACAGTATATGACAGCGATGGCAAGTGAGACCAAGTGCCAAACTGCAGCCCAAAATCCACTTACTCATTGCAGAGTGCCAACACTGCAGTTAAACCTGAATATTGAGGTTTTAGTTTCGAAGTAACAGTTCATACAACTTGTGACATCATCACAGAGGGCAGGGCTCTGTGTGGCTGCTGGTGGCCCATGGCCCATAGGTTCACCACCACAGGTACAAGAGGTCCTTAGGCCACTGGAGGCTGCTCTTGGAAGAGATTAAAAGTTTTCTTATTGAAACTCTGTTTACTTCTTGTGAAAGACGTATAAATCCAGTCCATGCTCTTGCTCTGTTTTCTTGTCTTGCTGTGTGATCCCTCTCTCACGCGTAGCTCCTAGGAGCCATCATGATGCCTTCACCAGAGCTGATGCTGGTGCCATGCTCTTGAACCTATCAAACTGACTTAAAACTTTCTAAAAAAGATTTCTAACCTCAGGTATTTTATTCTAATAATGAAAAGCAGACTAATACATGTACTAAATACATAAACTAGTGCCACAGTCATTCATTATCATTAAGCGTCATGTACTGTGCATAATCATGCTGTATTTTTATACAGCTGGCAGTGCAGTAGGTTTGTTTAGATCAGCGCCAGCACAAACAGTACAATGTGTTACGGTGTTATAATAAGTATGATGTCATCAGGTGATCAACTCCATTATAGTTTGACACTACTGTAATATATGCAGACGATTGCTCACAAAAACAACACTACAGGACACTTGACTGTACTTCTATTTAGCATTATACTGCAGGTACTAGTCAGCTCAAAAATGCAAGATTTAGATAAAGAGGGGCTGGGGATTAAGCTCAGCTGCACAGCGCCTGCCTGGCAAGTGCGAGGTCATGAGTTCAATTTCCGGTACTGGAAAAAAAAA